GTACGTTTTATTTGGTAAGGAAGATATTATCTATTATTACATGAACTTATAGTATTTTAAAGAAAACACAGAACAACAACATTAAAGCTTCCAATAAGTTTAACTCACAGCTGATTGTGTACGCTTTTCCCCGCGATAAAGCTGTTAATGTCAGTTCCACGAACTGAGAACATTAATTCTGCAATCCCCACATTTTCTCCTCCATGATCTCCTCTCACTCTGAACATAACATTTGATTGTACAAGTTAGATAATGGATCAATTGTTGTAGTTTTTATTATACCTGATTTAAGAAAGAAAAATTGTTACAGCATTTAAATTTATGTCAAAAATTCAATGGAACTAAAGCAACGTTTTGCTCGGTTCACTGGTTTAACAAGGATAAACATCTGAAATGACTTGCATTTCTAATTTATTGTGGGCCAAAAGGGGAGAACAAAAAAAAGTTTAATTACTTCAATAAGGTAAGGATAGATTCAGATCAGAATCAGAATCAGATGTTGCTTTTGTAGATCAAATTGTAGGCAACTGAAGGCAAATTAATCAGTAAAGTCCTTCATATGGTCATGRATGTGTATTGTTACAACATAAAGTAGTTCCTTCATGTTAGAGACAATTGAGAAGTACCTCATGAGTAAAATTTTTTCATAATTCACTAAAATGTCATATTAAAAAACTTAACGATGCCATTTCATGAGCTTGAAAGGGCTGATATCCACTTGTATGTGAAAGCATGTGTTCAGAGTATTATACGGTGAACCATCTGCAAAGCGCTATCTCTGCAAGAATATAAGTTCCAATGTTTTTTTTCATCTGATGTAGCTGTTTCAGAGAAGCCTGAAATCTATGCATTCACAATAAGAATTACAATTAATAACATCACTACCTCAGGGGAAACCCATGTTCGTTCACAGCTTCATTGAAGAATGCCAGGTGGGTATCTGATCTGTAGTTGTCTGCTACCTTAAGGTACATAATCTAAAACACACAAGAACAAATACAATAAAATCTTAATACAGTCCAGAATTAATTTTCCCCTGAAAAAGAAGTCATAGTTATGCAAGGGTAAAAACAATGCCTTAATGACAATTGTTAYTATGAACAATTCAGTCATGAAACTTATAATAGAATCTAATGGCATGAAAAATAGTTTTCAGTCATGGTGCTGACTTTGATATATTAAGATTAAACATGAAACATAAAACATGCAATACAAGTAACAAAAGACGTTTATATTAGATTTAACCACACATTTAGATATGCACACTTTATAAGGCCACAAAAACTGATATTTTATCAATTTATGAAATGTCCCATGAGCCTTTGTTGCTTGAGCATATGGCAGATTTTCTCCAAGTGCACAGGCTAAAACAAAAGTGGATTACCACACTGGCTCCTAGATTAATCATTAAAAAATTAGAGGACTTTATTTAAAAAGTATTTATTTTTCATGTATTAGTGCAGCCCCAGCTAGATTTTGACCCTCTCTGGGAAAATTTTTGTGCACTCCTGGTATAGATTGACCCAAAAGGTATGCTATGCTGCTGGGTGACAGAAAATCARTGAAGTCAAATAGGGTCAGTCAGMAACTTTTAGCAGTTATATGTTGTTGACAGGTAAAATTCTTACCTTTCTTGAATAGCCATCTATACCCKCAAAGATGACAAAGTTGTACCTAGATTAAAATAAAATCTGACAAGTCAGTCCATCCTAAACACAATACATAACATCTTCAACAACAGACATACCTGATAAGCTTATGATTGGTGTCAATGTGCACCATGTACTTTGGGAAAGGGACCATGTATGTCCTCCTCGCCACACATCTCAGACGAGTCATTCTTGAGAGCACACCTACACTGTCTACACGATGCATGGAGGCATATACTCTATCCCATTGCACTCTGTGTCCCTGTGCAAGTAGAGCACCTTTGACCACTCTGCATCCAGCATCTGGCATTGTGTTCTTAATTCCTGTGATTAATGAGTCTAATTCATCATCACTGCAGCCACTGTACAAGGCAGATATTGAGAGATTATTTTCTGCCATCCGCCTAAAAAGCGTAGCTCTAGACACACCAAGGAGTGCAGCAATAGATTTAGATGGCAGCCCAAGTTCTATAAGATGTGTCATGGTCTCTACAGACACACTCAGCCGTGGACGCCCACGAAAGCCCCTTTGTAAATCGAGTGTTACAAATGTCTGCTCATTCTCCCTCTCTTGCTGGACAACAGTAGTTAAATCAGTTAGTGCAGACAGTATGTGTTCTCCTACACTCA